TGTTCTGCTTCCTTAGCCAGACTCTGCAAACTGAAATGTGAAATTTGAAGCCAGTGTTCCCCTTAGCAACCATGGTAACACAGGATCTGATAGAGAGCCTAGAGTTATAAAAATACCAGCTTCCACCAGACACTGGTTTCCAAAGGGAAACCAGTCTCCAAGCCAGAACCATTTTTAAACAGTCTTAAAACTCAAGAGATTTCTAAACCGATCTCAACATGGCTCAGGAGGACATCTCTTGAATCCTGTTTTGGAAGGTGGCGTGGGTGCAGGCTTTGGGTATTTTCTGTAAAATATAGAGATTCAGAATGCATGTGCTCACCAGCCTTATGAAGGGTACAGAGCAGGAGCTGTTTTTCCTAATAAACATCAACTATTTGGCATTTTTTCATAGTTAGATTGAGCTGCCCTACTGATCCCCAGTGAAACCTTCCTTCCAGTTCCCTCACTGGGAGTCCTCACCTCCATCCATCCTCCTAATTAGGGAGAGAGAATGATTTCGCCTATCTCCCCTTGCTTGAAAACAATTTAAATTCACAAAGCCATTTTCCAGCCAGAATTCTACTTTAAGGGAGAGGTAGGGAGGTAAGAGGTGGTGGTGCCAAAACTTTTCTGCTCAGGACCAGCAAGAAACGACCTGTCTCCCAGTCCCCAGTCCTTTCTCTCCCGAGGGAGATCCCCTTGGGCATGGGCTCAGCAAAAGCTGTAAATCCCTGGTCTCTGCGCTCCCTGCAGAGGGCACTGGCCTGGTGAGTCGGGGCAGTGGGGGCAGTAGGGGGACTCTCCCCAGAGCAGGGCGCCTCCGGGGCTCCCAGCTTCCAGCCCCGCCTTCACAGCTCTGGGCGGCTTGCCCTCCCACCTCCTTCCCCCGCCTGCTCCTTCTTTTTCCTCTTATCTCCTGGGGCCATGCCTTGTAATTTTGAAAAATCTTCTGACTCGGTAATTAATGTCTGAACTTCAAGAGGCCCCTGCTATCTGCAGAGCTGAGCTGAAGGTGGGAGGGGACCAGCAGCTGCTGAGGCCTGGAGGAGGGAGGGGTGTGCAGATTTTTTTTTTCTAAGCTGTTGAATGGATGGGACTGTGGAGGATAGAATCGTACCTTGCCGGAGTTGTGGGTACAAGATATATATGTACACAGGCACAAGCATCCATCTTGATTTTTTAATCCTTTGGTTAAAATCACACAGTAGGATGTCCTGCTCACACACCCTCACCTTTCCTTGGCAGTATCCCAGCAGGTGGATGGCAACAAACACAAGGGGAGCCAGGCTAAAGGACTTTCTGAGTGCAGGTCAGGTAGGAGGATTCGCTGACGGGGAGGCAGAGAGACTTACACATTTCAGAGATCATAAACCAGGCACTGTGGGGTAAAAAGTGACCATCAGTTACTCCAGATAACTCAGAAGTCAAAAAACAAGGCTGCCTGTTTCCCACCTGCAGGGAGGATGGAGGCGACTCTGTGGACGCCTTGGTGCCCCCAACCTTCATACCTCCCAGAGTGTGCCCCTACCTTCCCATCCTCTGTGTCTCCCAGAGTGTGCCCCCACCCTGCCCGGCCTCTGTGTCTCCCAGAGTGTGCCCCC